CCATGGTAATCAAAGCAGTTTCCGTGTCTCTTGGTAAATATCAAGGCTGGGGATTTCTGAGGCTTGTTTTCCAGCAAGCTGAGTAGAAGAACCAATAAGGACAAAGATAAATTAATACCTGCTGCCCTTGGCTCAAAATGAAACAAGAGAGGTAGGTCACTGGCAAAGGTTAGTTAATACCACTTACCGCAGTGTCATGGAGTTGCCCTCAGCCCCTGCTGAGAAGGGCAGAGGAGGCAGTTTTTCAAACACAAAGTGAGAACGACACTATGAGAAACTGCAAAGTAATGGCCTCCAAGCATCCTTTGCCAGTGACTGGCTGCTTGGATTCCCTTGTCCCCAGGGCAGCACACAGGGGCTGCGGGTGGGGAGAGGGTAAGTAGGAGAGGAAAGGAGCCACAGCCTTGGGGAGCACAGAGGGCTGCCTGACTGCTCTGGGATGAGCTGGTTTCAAGACAGAGGAGGAGCTGGCAAGACCAAGGATCCTTGTGGGGAAATGGGGTTGCTGCTGCACACCGACTTACTGTAGCTGGATCCTCTGCCCATCACTCCAGCACTACCTCAGGCCTGATGCTTTGGGGAAAAGTGGCACCTACTTTTCCCTGTGGGAGAAGAGGTGAGAGTGGCTTTGCAGAGGGAACCAGAGGTACTAGGTGAAGAACATCAGGGAACTGGGACAGGCATCTAAGCAATGGCAGTGGGATGGGGCTCATCTGCCTGGTCTTCAGGAAAGGTGTGGCATCATGACCAGGGGAAGGCTCCTGCCTGAATTGTGGAGTGCAGGCGGGAGCATAAGGGTTCTGACCTGAATGTGGATCTCACAAAACAGAAGACAGGCATGTGCTGGAGGGCACTGCTGGCATGCTGGGAGTTACTGCTGGTGGTCCTGGTTGTCGAGCTGGGAAGCACCAGTGACGCCAAGCAGGCTCATGTGTCTGGCAAGAACTATCTGACACCATGGGACAGCAACACAAACCATAGAATCACAGAAAGGTTTGGGTTGGACTGGACCTTAAAGATCATCTAGTCCACCCCCCTTACCACTGGCAGAGTCACCTTCCACTGGACCAGGTTCCTCAAAGCCCCGTCCAACCTGGCCTGGAACACTTTCAGGGAGGGGGCAGCCACAGCTTCTCTGGGCAACCTGCTCCAGTGGCTCACCACCCTCATAATAAAAAGTCTCTTCCTTGTATCCAGTCTGAAGGTACCCTCTTTGAGTTTAAAACTGTTGCCCGTTGTCCTGTCACTACAGGTACTGGTAAAAGTTCCCTCTCCACCTTTCTTACAAGCCCCTTTTAAACACAGCAAGGCTGCAATAAGGTCTCCTCGGAGCCTTCTCTCCTCCAGGCTGACCCACTTCAGCTCTCCTGCCCTTTGCTCACAGGAGGGCTGCTCCAGCCCACTGCCCGTCCCGGCGGGCCTCCTCCAGACCACTCTGCGAGGCCCGTGGCTTGTGCCGGTGCCCCCGGCGGCAGCGCTCCAGGGGAGCTCTCACACCGCACCCCTCCAGATAGAGCCGCGCTCCGGGACATGCACCCGGGCTCCCACGCTGGCACAGGCCGGCAATGGCGGAGCCGGAGAAGGGCCGGGGGGCAGCAGCGGCTCAGCCC